TAACAGTGAGAGAGAGAGAGTTCTTCTTCCTCTTCTTCTCAGTCCACCATCTCCTTCTCTCCCTCTCAACCCTTGACTTCACTGCATTTGCAGACTGYGAGAGAAGAGATACCGAGCTTRGTGATATCGGWTCCAARACTCGAYTTTTTGGGATTCAGACATGGCAACGAGGGGTTATTTGGGATCGGTGACAAAGACTTGGTGTTAACGACACTCCCATCTTCCTCCCTCCTTTCGTCTGATCCTTACCTCTTCGTCTATGCATGTCTGGACCTGGCGCTTTCTTCTTGTGTGCAGCGCCAGGCTCCTTCACACCTGGTGAGGGGTACGATGCATGTTTGGTCTGAGTTCAACCATCGGTTGGACTAGTTATCAACATTCTAGCAGTCTGTTTCGCTACTTGCTACTACGTGTGTAAGGTCGGTCCTTGTCAGGTCAGTCTTTGTATCTAAGTCTTCCCTGCGCTATTCAGCACTTTTGTATGTATGAGAATGCACATTGTCTGTCGAGATTCTACTCTCACCGCATTGTCCATTTCAGTCCTTTTCGTCACATTGCAGTACCTCGGTTATTACAAACATCACATATCTGTGCATGTAACAGTTGGTATCGGAGCTTTGCACGTGAATCAGGACTACCTGATCTGACACGTGTGCGGGGACTAAAGAGCTAGGTAGTCTTTTCCGTGTGCAGAATGGCGCCCAGCTGGGAAGTTGCAAAGTTGGGGCCCATTCCGAAAACTGTCAAAATGCAGAATGGCTCCCAGCTGGGAGGTGGCAAACATGGCGCCCATCTGAAAAGTGGAAAATGCAGGAGGGTCCCCCGAACTGATCCTGGTCTAACTGATGGCCACTGGGCCTGCATCGGCCCTCCTATGAAGTCGGATACATGCGTGCTAGCGGGTAGGGACTGACTCTAGTTACTAGGAGACTGCTGAGACTCGGAAGGAAGACTACGGCCCCTAACCTGTGGCTAACCCTCTAACCTACTACGGGCCCTAGGGGCCCCTGTGGTGCATAATACCACAGATGCCCTATGGACATCCATGCTGGACATGAAAGAGCCACTAGAGCTAGTAATGCAACCGTGAGGAGACATGTGAGAGAGAGGCCTAAGGGAGAGAGATTTTGATGCTGACTTGGCCATTCATTCATTTATTATTACTATTCAATGTATTCATCATATATAAGAGGAGGTGGAGATTACGTGTGGGAGATGATGATGGCAAAAGGAGGGAGATGACATTGGTTCAATCTCTTCTTCTTACTCTTCTTCTTTCCTTCTTCTTTCCTTCTTCTGTTACGATCCTGGCCAATTTCGAAGTGCAAATTCACAAGAAAGTACAATGCCATCCAATTGCAAAAGAAATGAATGAACTTGAGAGGAGAGAGAGGTAACAAGAAGAAGAAGAAGAAGATGTACATCAGCAAAAGACCAATCATAATCCCCCCTTCTCTCACCAACCGACAACTCCTCGTTCATTCAAATAATAATAATAATAATAATAATAATAATAATAATAATAATAATAATAATGGCTGAACCAGAATCAGTGTCCGAATCCCTCTTCTACTGCCAGCACAACGAGAGGTCCACCATAGCCATTGCTGCCCTCCTCTCTCTTCTTCATCCAGGCCTAGACTATGGCGGACTGCTAAGGGCCTTGTCTTGACGCGCAAAAGGCAACGCAAAGCAGCTATGGCCTCTTTCTCTCAGGCCGCCGCGCCTGACTCTGCCTCAAAACTTCTTGATGTAGCACTACCCCAACTGGGGTCTTCCAGATGCAGCGGCTACCAAGGTGATGAAGATGATGTAGCCAGGTAAGTACCCCTGACTACCCTTCTTCCTCCTCCTCCTCCTTCCCAAGCTCATCCACCATAGCCAGGGCGGAAAGCTGGGCGCTCCTCTTTCCCACAGCTCTATTCTAGCACTGCTTCATCCAGCGCTCCAGCAGCAAGACCGCAAAGCGGCATGCAGCGAATGAGGAGGAGCGCTGCGCTCCTCCTGGAGATATAGCTGCCAACCTGCCTCTTGGGGGATGACTTCCAGACCGCGCGCCCTCCAAGCAAATCGGTACCTCCTCCCTTTCGGAGGGAAACATCATTGCAGGCTCTGATATCKTCCGCACAGGCCCTAGACTCAGACTACTTGGACTGGCACCAGCCTAGACCTAGCCTACCGCAACTGGGCCTCTAAAAATGCTAACCTTTTGTCTTCTTCTGCTCGGCTTACTGCTACTACACTAAACTTGAGTGTGCCATAAGCTACCCCTTCGGTCACGGCCACAGGAAAGTACCGGCCCTATGGCCTCCCAAACAAACGAGTGCCCTGGCGGGCCACACATACTCAGGCCGACAGGGACTCAGACAGGCACGCAGCCCAGTGAACAGGCACATGGTGCCACACACACATGCAATGACTTGCTGTTCTCTGGTCACCTGTAGCCTCTCTCTGTCGAGGCTGTACTATAGGTAGGATAGATTCGTAATTTTGTTTGGCTGAGGGCTAACAGAGAGACCTACCTGCAAGGGAAATTCGTGAGGGACATATCTGCAAATTCGGGAAAAAATGCAGGCCCGGTACTAACAGAATTCCCTATAGCTACCCTAACTGTGAATAGCAGGCCCGGGCTACCCCTAGGACAGACAGGCCCTAAGGGCCTATTCTAATAGACGGTCCTATAGCCTATAGCCGGGTCCGGTAGAGGCCGAGAGACCGAAACAGAAACGGTACTGGTCGGTCAGTCAGTCCGGTCTAGGTCGAGTCTAGGCTAGGTTAGTCTGTAGATAGGATGGGCACATCGGTTCAGGGCTTTTGGCAGCTGGTACCGAGTACATCGCTGCTGCGCTACGCGTGAACCGGAAGTGGTGACGGCTCAGCGTAGAAGGGGACAGCCATAGCCAGACCTTCGGAGCGCCGGCCATAGCTGGGACCTGCACTGTACTCTGCCAGCACGGAGGGGCTGAGGTCTGGGCTATCGAGGTCTGCTGGAGGCGAGTGAAGTTGGTGCCCTGCTGGACCCTCTTCCGGTGTGGGGTTCCAGGGTGGTGTCGCTGCAGCCATAGCTGCGGCTTCTTCCTCAGAGGTCATCTTGTCAGGGTTTGGTGGCGCTGCTGCAGACTTCCACCCGGGAAGTCTTCCGACACTTCGTCATCATCAGATACTGTGCCGCTGGTCTTCTTCTTCATCCTCTGAGTGGCGCTGG